TACACATGTAAATGTTCAAGGATAAGCCATATACATGTTCAGTTAGGATAAAAATTGTTGCTTATAATTAGATAATTGCATAATAATCAATATATAGATGTTCCACAGATATCTTGAGTACTAATAAGTCATAATACCGAGAACAACACGGAAATATAACGCAACTCACCAAAAAACAAATATGGCGCCACACACTAACATAACGACTCGAGTCCGACCCGAACGTTTTCGGAAAGCTCCGGAAATAAGGGACGTCCCATAAATAAAGTTCGCAGGGGGAAAAGGTAAACCATAGTTATCAAACTCCACTCTATCTGTTTCTTTTATAAAGCGAGGTAACAGTTTATAAATTGAATAACACAAAGTCTTCAAATGTTCAATAGAAAATCGTTAACCCGAAACTTGAACAGTAACACAACACAACACAACACATGAACATAGTTAAAATTATAGTTTCTTAAATGTCCAAAACTCCTTCTTCCAGCGTCTTCATCAATTGTAGAGATGCTCCTTTCTTAGTTAAACAGTCTGCCAACTGTTTAGTAGTGTCTGACCAGATCACTTCTTTCACCTGTTTACTTTCTACCAATTCTTTTATACCACTTATCTCAATTCTTAGTCTTTTCTCACTGACTAATTTGGTAGACCTAATTGCCTCATATAGAGATTTGCAATCTGTTATGCAGGTAAGTGATAAAGTTTCTGGATCAGGTATTCCTGTAGTCAGTTCAGCATACAGGGTGGCAATGAATACGCCTGCATCAATGGCATCAGCCATTGCCAACGTCTCTCCTGCTAATGTGCTTCGGACAACCCGGCGGATTTTACGAGAGTTCCAACATATTGGTGAGAACTTTCCTGATTGTGCCCGTAAGAAAATAAGATACTTGACTGCCACCATCTGGGAGGTTTCCCAAGGACGCATCGCTGAATACAATGAGAGATAGTTTACCCTCTCCCAGACATTGAAACTTCAGAGGCACCGATTCTGATTTGACTTTTCTGATCACTTTGTTAACATCAAGAAGTGCTCTTACTGTCCCGTCCTTGAATCATGATGCTAAACTCCAGAAGCCCATTGCTCCATGGATTATAAGCTGCAGTAGTTTTGAACTCAATGTTAAAATTCTCACACATTACCATTCTTATTACCTCCTTATTGTTAAACTCACCACCATTGTCGCTGAACAATCTCTTTGGTGCCCCATGAATGCTAATCCAATGCTGGATAAAGTTCTGTACAAAAACAGACGGTTTCTTACTGGTAATTATGGATCCAGCGCTAAATCTAGAAAACTCATCTATGATGTGTAAATACCATGGTTACTTTCCAACTCATGCAAATCGACAGCTACAGTCTCGTTAAAATCAGAAGCTAATGGAAAACCAACTGCAGGCTTGGAAGATTGTTTTTTATATTTGAAGCACACTTCACAGTTGTCAATCACTTCCACCAGATTCTGAAAGACATTTTTATCTTTTGTGCCAGCATTCTCCAATAATTTTCTTAATCGTTCTGCCGAGGCATGCCCAAATTGGCGGTGCAGTTTTACCAGGATTTTCTTTTGATCCACTCTGTTTATATTCTCACCAATCAGTATCATTTCACTTTCAGTCACCTCAGGCTCTGTATCATCAGCCATCAAGGCCATAGCTTGTTGATCAGTAATTTTGTTCTCTTTGAATTTCCTGATGTCAACACAATAATGTCCGCTAGATGTGAATTCTAGTTTAACAGGCTCTTTGAACATTTCTGCTTTGTCGTTGCAAATATATAATTTTGTCTCAGCTCTCTTTAATGATGTTTTACTCAGCAACAGAGGTATATCTACATCTACCACTTCTGTATCAATCTTGCAAATATTGTTTCCTATCTTTGCCGGTAGTACATGTATGACATTTTCCTTTGAAATTATCTTCTTACCATCACCAAATTTGAAGGCTTTATTACTGCATTTCCTGATAACCGCCTTTTTCTGTATGGTGTCGAGATCATCCACATAATTTTCCAGCCATTTCCTTCCACACACAGTGCGTGTACATGCAGTGTCAATTATAGCACACCCAAATGACTCAGTCATTAAAATCTCATTATCAGGCTGTTCTTTAGTAAGTAAAGTTATATTACATGTCTCATTAATCGGATCATTCTCTTGAACCATGCATGCCTTTTGTTCATCTTTGTCTGGGCAATTCTTAGCCCAGTGGAATACTGACTGGCAGACCATGCATCTGGTTCTCTTCCCATATCTATCCAATGGATTTGTACCTCTAGGGGTTTCCGAGCTATCCAAATTTCTGTACTTTCTGGGTTGCTTATACGATGGAAAGGCCTTTTTGCCACCGGAGAACTTGGAATTATTAAATCTTTCAGTGACATATGCCGATTCCTGTTTTATCGTGATGCCAGAGGCGCAATTCCAGCTCAAAACACCTTCCCCAGTCACGTGATCCCCGGAAAAAATTCTCTTCAAAGCCGATTTCATTGATGCAAACTATAAATCAGATGCCGCTGTTAACACCATTTGCCTCTCGGTCTTATCTAATTGGGCTTTATCCAACAGCTTGAAGGCAAGAACAGCATCGGGAAGGGTCATTTGGTACTTTTGACATTGGGTATACAGTCATTCGTACTCAACGATAAATTCCGCCATCGGCATGTTTTCCTTTCTTCCGTAAGACTCAAATTTTGAATAGGCATCGTACGCAAGATTGACTGTTTCTTTCATAAATAAAGAATCCAGTTCTCTAAGCAAAATATCCAAACCATCTTCCTTATTAAGCTCACTTACTTCTATATCAAGCGCCTTCGCTTTGGCTTGGCCAGTGAGTGACAGAGTTACCGCTAACGCCTGTTTCTTTTTCTCGATGTCGGTCATCAGTCTCCATATTTTAACTTCATATTTCCATGTTTCGTAAACCGCATCGGAGCAAACACGGGTGGATTCTTGTAATTATTTGCCATGCTTATGCTCTGCTACCATTTAATAAGTCATTAATACCGAGAACAACACGGAAATATAACGCAACTCACCAAATATGGCGCCACACACTAACATAACGACTCGAGCCCGACCCGAACGTCTTCGGAAAGCTCTGGAAATAAAGGGACGTCTCATAAATAAAGTTCGCAGGGGAAAAGGTAAACCATAGTTATCAAGTACCACTGATCACATTTCAATGAAACTCTATGGCAAATAATTCACAGATCTGATTGAAATTCATGCATATTA